AATCGAAAGGGAAACGGGCCTTTTCAGTTTAAAACGGGCCTTTTAAAGCCTGTGTACGACCTTGTAGAATTTAGCTTCAAATTTCCGCTTGAACGTAGCGTTCCAGTTATTTTTAGTTCAATGAGTCCACCCTGTTGGCGTGGCAGAGTTACTCGAGGTCAACCTTCTGTGTACCTTATTCTGTGGCCCTACTCTGCAGTCTGGGTTGTTGCCACTTGTTGGCGTACATTTGGCATTTATCTGGCAGCTGGTGGGTGGAGATTTGTTCGTTTGATTTGGTTGACATTTCCTCGAGATTTTAGGTTTGTGTGGCTAATTTTAATAAAGTAAACATTTGTTGATGGTTAGGTTTAATAATGGTGTAGTGTATGGATGGGTTTCTTTATTTTCAAAAAAAAATTATTTCTTTCACTTCACTAATCACTATCTGATACTATGAAAACACTATGCAGTAGATGATGGTCATATTATACCATTTCTTAGTCTGTTTATTCCATTTCTTAGTCTGTTTATTCCATTTCTTAGTCTGTTTATTCCACCCTTGGCCCACCTGTTCCAATGTTGGGGTCTGGTAGCCTGATTGGATTCGATACCCATCGGCTCAAGATCTTTAGCGGAAAGCACAGCCACTTGGCGTAGCACAAAGGAGTTTTTGGCGTAAAAAAGTAGCAGGTTGGCGGACTGTGTGTGTTTAAGAAATTCTGTGCTTTTGGCGGGTTTTCTAAAGTTGTAATTTTCCTGGCGTAAATCTTTGGCGGGCGAAAATGGAGAAATCCAATCAGGTCTGGCAGCCAGGGCCGACATTGAACAGGGGCACATGAGGGGGGGGAGGGGGGGGGCAGGGGGAGGGTTGGGCTAAAGGCCTTTCAAATTATGTGAAATTACAGTGTATGCCCCTTTATGTACTTCAACCAAAACATCTTAATTCATATTTTATTTATTATGGTGCACTATAAATCCTCTTTCTAGGTTTGGATTTCGTCTGATGATCTAGTATCAATTCAAATATGCTGATATATATTTACAGGTAATCTTTTCACTTGTACTTAATGTCACAATAGATTTCAATTAGCCTGACACAGTTCAAATAATTAATATTTACAGTAAGCCCCGGTCAAATGAGCATGAGAGTTGAAACCTGCATTTTTGACCACCAACTCCAATAAACTCTTGTGTATTCTGACCGACTCTCATCAATTTGAACTGGTTCAAATCTTCTCAATCAGAGTTGACGAGAGTTTTTCCTCGTTTGATCGGTAATATCCTGTGCAATTCCAGTTCTTGTTTGATTGAGAAGGCCATGAAAGTTGAGAAAATTCTCGTGCAAGCTTTCACTTGCTAACTCTCATCAGTTCTCTCATTCTCGTTTGACCGGGGCTTTAGAGAAATTCGACTGTATATCCTATCTTTTCTTGTACTTTTGCCCCATCACACTTTAGTAACTCCAACCAGCTTGACGCCATCCTTCGAGGGCAGATCAACCGTATGGAAATCCTCTTCATTGGGGAAACATTGAAAAACATCCCATCTCTTTGGTACCCGTTTATACTCAAACAAAAACTTTGTTGCATACGACACCAAAATAATGGTCGCAAATGAGCACAGCATAGCGAATGTTCGAAATGGGAATAATTGTCCATCGGTCTCATTGTAATATGGATATTTAATGAACGGATCCAGCTTTATCACTGGCTCGCCTCCACCGACTCTGAGTATCACAGCCATAATGTACCCCAGCAACGCACCATACGTGTTCACATCCTGGACATAGATCACGCAGCAGAGTTGAGGGAATAGGATGGCATAGATGAGGTCAGAGCAAAGGTACCATAGAGCGTAAATGGATTGAATTTTGAGTGCCATAATCGTAGCCAGTGCTCCAACGCCAAAGATTGCCAGACGAATCACCCAGATGACTTCTCTCTCGGATGCCTAGAAGGTGATTGTTTCAGAAAATTAAGATTGAATGTTGTCGGCATTACCATACAACTTGGATGGTTATACCCAGTAGCGTAGACAGCCCTACAATTTAGTCCCGCTGTGCAAATTCAAAATTATTATCATTATTCATTTCTTTAGAAATTGATTGTTTGCACAGTCAATGAAGTGATTATACCTTTGAATATTATCAGCATTACCATTCAACTTGGATGGTAACGCCTTTGAATATTATCAGCATAGCCATTCAACTTGGATGGCAATGCCTTTTAATATTATCAGCATAACCATTCAACTTGGATGGTAATGCCTTTGAATATTATCAGCATAACCATTCAATTTGGATGGCAATGCCTTTTAATATTATCAGCATAACCATTCAATTTGGATGGCAATGCCTTTGAATATTATCAGCATAACCATTCAATTTGGATGGTAATGCCTTTGAATATTATCAGCATAACCATTCAATTTGGATGGCAATGCCTTTGAATATTATCAGCATAACCATTCAATTTGGATGGCAATGCCTTTGAATATTATCAGCATAACCATTCAATTTGGATGGCAATGCCTTTTAATATTATCAGCATAACCATTCAACTTGGATGG